AGGAAAATACAGCCCTCTCTCGGCTCTGGCCGACTGATCCGTTCCCACCTACGGCTCAACAATCTGCCACCAGCGAGGGGCTTTTATTTTCCTCTCTTCCCAGGAAATGTTAGCAAAGCCGGGGTGGGGGCGGAGGGGGGGCTGCAGTGGGCCGCAGAGGGACACCCCTCAGGAATCCACAGGTCCGCGCGCTTTTCAGCAGGAAGGAAACTTGGACCTAAGAGCTCCGGACCTAGGACCCCCATCTTCCCACTCCCCACCCCACTTCCCCAAGCCCCCCAAACCCCGGCTGCTCCCCGCAGCCGCCGGCGGCGCTCGGCTCTCCAACCCGCGCCTTTAAGCTTTCGGTGGTGGCCGGCGCGGGGGGCGCGCGAAGTGCCCGCACCCAGTCAGGGTCCGGGGCCGCGCGCACCGCGTCCTCGGGGTCCGCGGCCCGAAAGCCGTGGCTCGGGCCGGCGGGGCTCGGAGCCCAGCGCCCAGCGGCGGTGCGCGCTGCAGCGCGTTTGCATCCTTTTCCATTCTCTCCATTAGACTTTTGCTTTTATTTTATTTTTTTCCCCCTTGTTTTCGCGCTGTGTACATACCGGACCACCACACTTAACACGTTCAAAACCGTGTTTGTTGTAGGTGCGTGGCCGGCCCCTTGAAAGCCCGGGTACTTTGATGTTTCGACTATAAATCCCTAATTGTACTTAATGGTTACAAATGGCTTTATTTACTCGTGGCTGTATCTACACATTTTAATCTATTAACCAAACAGCGGAGGCATATTTCACTCCCCAACTCCCCTCCCCCCAAAAAGGAAAAGCAGGGATCGAAGGCCCCTTAATGTGCTTTCCGGTCCGGCCAGCGTCTTCAGCTGTGAAAGCCCTAGGGGCTGCAGGCGCGGGCCTAGCCGCGCGCTCTCACCGCCTGCGGAGCGGTTCCCCTGCCCGCGCCGTCCAGGAGATGTTGATGTATATTGTAGCTGCAAGGTGTTAGATATACTCGAGCAAGTTGTTCCCAGGATGTAAATTAGGTCCCCAAAGCTGTTGTCCAAATCGAAGAAACAGAGAAATTAATCTGGGAGACTATCCATCATCACCGGTAATAAAGAGAGCGACACGGATGAGACAGATGATATGATTAAGGGGCTGTGGTCGTTTTAATTAACTTTTTGCTGTCCTGTAATGATCAAACTGGTCACCAGACCCGGTCAATAAGCATGTTAATATCAAACAAATAAAACCAGGGATGATTAAAAACCTCCCGGTTTATTAAATTTGAAATTCAAATGAAATTTATGCTGCAGATGCATACAGAATGCTAATAGATTTTAGCTTTATTGATAGCGGATCCCACAGGTTCGCAAGAAACAGCACAGTATCCATCTACTCCTACCCCCCCACCCCCACCCCGCAGCACAGGAAGCTTCACTTGGGGTGGGGAAACTTTTAATGAGGTCTGGAAGCCCGGGACTTCCTCTTTCTCTTCCATTCCCAACGTCTATATTATCATGACATAATACTCCAGGGTAGTGATCAATATCATAAAAGACACACTGAACTCTCTGGACCCTGAAAACCTGTGCCAGGCTGGCTGGCTCCCCCATGCGTGGGTTATAGACATCCCTGAGAATGAAAGACTTGGTGGCAAACCTGCCGCCACCTAGATGGTTTCAGTGAAACTCCAAGCAAAAGTTGGGTTCTTTTAATATTTGGTCAATGAAACCGTGCTCTTTTGTCTTTTTAACTCCGCTGCTTTACGCTCTATGATACAAACACCACTTTTGGGTGGGGAGGAGTGGGTTGAGCAGAAAAAAACAAACAAACCTTGGACCAAATGCTACTATGAAATAAACACCTCCATTTAAAAAAAAAGTGGGAATAAAGGAATATATGCTTATATTCTCCTACTCATCTATGCATATATTCCTGAAGAAAGTTGTGCATACAAACTTTGGTGAGGGTCTTCAACTGCTAACAGCCAGGAGGGATACAGGTTGGAGTATCCCATATTCTCATTAAATCCAAACCGATATTGTGATTTCCTGTTATAGAAGGAATGACATGTGAAGCTCAAGTGAATTTATACAAGTGAAAAATCTTAGAATTAGGTAGCTCAAAAATTGCAATCATGGGGGGGGGTACCTTTTTTTTTTTTTTTTTTTGAGCAAACAGTGGTTGACACCTCTGTTTACTCTTGGAATCAGCATTTAACTTTTTATTAGTCCTGCCCCCTTCCTTCCAAAAGATAGGAGGCTAAAAGGAGAACTACTCCTAGGAGGGAATCTTTCCCTCCAAGCCTCCTCCCTCCCCCACCTTTGAGGGTTCCGGCATTGACTAGAACTAAGCCCCGAATTTGAACAGTGTATTAGGTCCTTTAAATGAATATCATTACAGAAGAAGACCACAGCAATGAAGTTAATTCTCTTTTATTTGTTAAACGGAGTTCCCTCCTTCCCCACCCCTTCCTCCTTCTGGGCTGGTCTGGCACGCCTTCTCAACACGCTGAAATCACTGGGAGCTTCATGCAGGGAGAAACTCGACATTTATGGTAAGCGTCAGCCGTCGGAGAAAGCAAGTAGTTCATTAATTTACTTCTCACCTCCTTTAAGGTACCGGAGTGTCCCTTACCCCCCTTAATCAATACATGTGATGTACAGTCAATATCCCCACATGCTAAAACGGGGTCAGAAACACACAGGCTCACACCAGCCGCCTGCAGGAAATTCCCACCAGCGACACGATCCGAGTGCAGCTCAGGAAACCCCAGGAGGTTCCTCTGACCTCTCAGGAGCTGCGATGCAACCGTAAAATACAAATGTTTCCCCGGTCAAAAAATAAATAAATAAATAAACCCCGAACGCTTCTCCCAGCTAGCCACATTTTAACCAACTGAAAACTAGACTTCCAAGAGCAGCTGTGACTACTGAAACATATGCGTTACTTTTTTTTTTCTTTAAGCGTAGGAATATTCAGCAGGGCTCTGGACTTTCTGCTACACTGTGCTTTCTGTAAGTTAAGCAAGTCCCTCGTGGTGGCAGTAATTGCAATGACAATTCCGAAGGCGAGGAACAGAGCAAATGGCAAACAAGTGACTAACATCCACCCAATCTCAACTGCTCCTACCGGTTAACCCGCACACGCCTGCAGACACAAACCCTGGATAAAGGCGGGCCCAAGACCTGTCACATGCTCGTTTTTACAGAGCCCACCGCTCCCCATCAAAGCCCCGGGGTCGGTTCTCAGAAAGAGGCCCTGAGGTTTCCTGGGAATACGTCCACATTCCCCCCAACTTCTCACCTAGAGGGGAAAAACAGCCCTCTCTCCCTGCTCGCTCTAATCCTTTTGTATTGAAATGGACTCAACGCCAAGGGACGAGCACACCTCCTCCCCAGAGCGAGACGCGCACTTCCAAAGCGGAATCCCACCTCCGAGCAGGGGAGCGGAGGCGACCACATCAAAGTCCCCATGCTGGCGCAGGCGCACTCGCGCCCCGCCGCGCCCCTAAAAGCACCCCGGTGGCCAAACCCCTCTGCTCTTCCCCTACTGGGAGCCCCGGAGAGAGAAGACGGGCGTCAAGATTTCCCCCCCAAACTGGTCTGATAATGTCCAGGAAGTTAAGGGGTGGGGGTGCGGGAAGGAAGAACCCCAAGGTTTCAGGCACAGTGAGCCCCAGGAAGTTGGCAACCGTGGCAGCACTCGCAAGCGTTTATTCACTCAGCGTCGCTCAACTTTCTGCCAGCTTCAGTCTTCAGTCCCCAGAGTGCGTCGCACACACGCGCCCTTGAGCGCCCGGCCTTGGCGCGCGCGTGCACACATTTTCCTGTGGCACCCACGCACACGCAGGCCCGGCTTCGGCGCACGCACACGCATGCCCTTGCCTCTGCACAAACACAAACTCAGACCCAGCTTTGTGCGCGCGCGCCCACTCTCTTCCTCTTCCCTCTGCACTTACATTCACACCAGCTTTGGCGCGTGCACTCACACACACCTTCCCTTTCTGTCTGCACAGGCTCCTGAATTCACACCCAGCTTCGGTGCACGCGCGCGTACACACACACACCGCGTCCCTCTGCACAAACACAAACACAAACTCACAGCCAGCTTCGGGGCGCGCACACGCACACGTACTGGCACACGTTCTCCCGTGGGACACACACACGCACATGCAGGCCCAGCTTCGGCGCGTGCACACCCTCCTCCTCTTGCACACACACCCACACCAGCTTTGGCGCGTGCACACACATCCCTGCCCTCTCCCGCGTGCACACACACCTACACTAGCTTTGGCACGTGTGCACACACAAAACCCTCTGCACAAACTCACACCCAGCTTTGGCGCGTGCACACGCACACACACACACTCCTCCGTCTGCACAATCCACTGAATTCACACCCAGCTCTGGCACACCCGGCTCTGGAGCGTGCGCCCTCCCCCCCACGCCTGCCCTCTCGGGGCGTGCACACACAACCGCTTCACACCCAGTTCTCTCGGGCCCTCTCACGCACGCCATCATTCCTCTGCAGCCGCCCGCCCCCTCCCCGGGTGGGGCAGACCCAGTGACACACCCTGTCACCTGCACCCCCGCTGCGTCGCACTCACACACCCCTCCCGTGCGCGTGCGGTCGGCGGTGGGCCGGCTGGGTCGCGGCGCGCGCGCACACACACACACACACACACATACACACACACAGCGCCCCCATCCCCGCGCGCGCTCCCCCGCACCGCGCGCGCTCCCGCCCCTCCCCCAGCGCGCCGGCGGCCGCGGCGATGACCTCACGGCGCGCGCGCGGCGCGGCCCCGGCGAGCCCGGCGATTGGCTGGCGGCGCCTCCGCGGCACTTCAAAGCCGGAGAGGGAGCTACAATTGTGGCGGAATGGGCGGAACTGATCATTGTATTGCACACCTCTTAAAAAAAAAACACTGCCTCTGATTTATCAATATAAAAAAGATCCTCCGGGAGGCGGAGGGCGCTTTTGTGGGATGGCAACTTCACTTCTGGGGGTGAGTTTCTGCGTTGTCCTCGCGGCTTTAATTGCGCTCCTTTCATGGCGGGTCCGAGGGGGTCCCCGCCGCCCCGGCCGGGCCACGGGCTGTCCGTCTCGCTCTATTGAGGTTTTTTTTTTTTTTTTTCCTCCCTCCCTTCCCCTTCTTTAAATACAAGGCAGTTTGGAGACAGGAAAGAGGGGGAGGGGGCAGATCACTTTTTCCGGCGCTGGAGACGGTTCGCAGGGCGCTTGGGGAGCAGCCGCCTCGCCGCGCGCGCCGCTCCGGGCCCGGGGCACCCGCGCCCAGCCCTCGGCGCAAAAAAGAGAGAGAAAAAAAAAACTACAAAAAAAATCGCGACACTTTGGGGGTGCCGAGAGCAGGCTTCTGCTCCCCGGGCAAACCGCAGGGGCTGCCCCTTCCCCTTCAATCCAGCCCGCCTGGTCTTGCAGGTACGTTGAATTCATTATTTCTTAAAAAGATTGTAGATTCAATTTTTTCTTTTTTTGCTTTTTAAGAAAATAAAAGGAGACGCAGGAGGAGCGAACGGCCTTGGGTGTGGGTGTGAGTGGGGGGGTGCACAGCCCAGGGTGGGTTTCCGGGGCACGAGACTGGTCCGTGCAAAGCGCCCTGCGGATGCCTGGGGACCGGCTCCTCAAAGCCAACCCCGCGCGGGGCTCTCGGCCCGGGAAACTTACTCCGTCCGCGGCCAGGACATTTTTTTGCGCGCTCGTCTCCGAGCGTCTGGGGCCTGCCGCGGCGCTACTGGCGTTTTGCTGGAGTCCAGGAGCGCGCGGACAGCCTCGGGTAGCGCTGGCGTCCGGCTCCCGGCGGCCCCGCCACGTCCCCTCCCGCCGCGGGGCAGCCAGGTGAGTCCGGGGGTGTGCGGCGGGGCGCCCGGGGCAGCTAGGTGAGGCTGGGGGTAGGGGGGAGCCCGGAGCCGCCCGGGCACTAACGCGCCTCTCTCCCCTCCCCCACCGCGTCCCCTCTGCTCCCGAACCGCAGGAAGAACCGAGGCTGGGCTCCACTCCTTTGGCCATGCTCGCCGCCACCTGCAATAAGATCGGCAGCCCCAGCCCGTCCCCCTCCTCGCTGTCGGACAGCTCGTCGTCCTTCGGCAAGGGCTTCCATCCCTGGAAACGCTCGTCGTCTGCGTCCTCGGGCAGCTGCAACGTGGTGGGCTCCAGCCTCGCGGGCTTCGGCGTGTCCGGCGCCGCCCGCACCGGCGGCTCGTCCTCGGCGGCGGCCGCGGCCGCGGCGGCGGCGGCCGCGGCCGCAGCGCTGGTGTCCGACTCGTTCGGCTGCGGCGGCTCGCCGGGCTCCAGCGCCTTCTCGCTCACCTCCAGCAGCGCCGCGGCCGCCGCCGCCGCCGCCGCTGCCGCCGCCTCCAGCTCGCCGTTCGCCAACGACTACGCGGTGTTCCAGGCGCCCGGCGTGGCGGGGGCCGGCGGTGGCGGCGGGGGCGGCGGCGGGGGCGGCGGTGGTGGCGGTGGTGGCGGCGGCGGCAGCGGCTCCTCCGCGGCGCACTCGCAGGACGGCGCGCACCAGCCCGTGTTCATCTCCAAGGTGCACGCGTCGGTGGACGGGCTGCAGGGCATCTACCCGCGCGTGGGCATGGCGCACCCGTACGAGTCGTGGTTCAAGCCCTCGCACCCGGGCCTGGGCGCCGCGGGCGACGTGGGCGCGGCCGGCGCCTCCAGCTGGTGGGACGTGGGCGCGGGCTGGATCGACGTGCAGAACCCGAATGGCGCGGCAGCGCTGCCCGGCTCGCTGCACCCGGCCGCCGGGGGCCTCCAAGGCTCGCTGCACTCGCCGCTCGGCGGCTACAACTCGGATTACTCGGGCCTGAGCCACTCTGCGTTCAGCAGCGGCGCCTCCTCGCACCTGCTCAGCCCCGCGGGTCAGCACCTCATGGACGGCTTCAAGCCCGTGCTCCCCGGCTCCTACCCGGACTCGGCGCCATCGCCGCTGGCCGGCGCGGGTGGCTCCATGCTGGGCGCCGGGCCCTCGGCGCCACTCGGCGGCTCCCCGCGCTCCTCCGCGCGCCGCTACTCGGGCCGCGCCACCTGCGACTGCCCCAACTGCCAGGAAGCGGAGCGCCTGGGCCCGGCCGGGGCCAGCCTGCGGCGCAAGGGCCTGCACAGCTGCCACATCCCGGGCTGCGGCAAGGTGTACGGCAAGACGTCGCACCTCAAGGCGCACCTGCGCTGGCACACGGGCGAGCGGCCCTTCGTGTGCAACTGGCTCTTCTGCGGCAAGCGCTTCACGCGCTCCGACGAGCTGCAGCGGCACCTGCGGACCCACACCGGCGAGAAGCGCTTCGCCTGCCCCGTATGCAACAAGCGCTTCATGCGCAGCGACCACCTCAGCAAGCACGTGAAGACGCACAGCGGCGGCGGCGGCGGCGGCGCGGCGGGCCCCGGCGGCGGCGGCAAGAAGGGCAGCGACACCGACAGCGAGCACAGCGCCGCGGGCAGCCCGCCCTGCCACTCCCCAGAGCTGCTGCAGCCCCCGGAGCCCGGGCACCGCAACGGCCTCGAGTGACGCGCGCGCACGCACGCGCCCCCAGCTGCCCCCGTGCGTCTGGGCCTCTGCTCCGGCCTCCCTCCACGGCACCCCGCTCGCCGCTCGGCCCCGGCCCCTCTTTCTCCCGCTCCCCTCTGTGACTTAGCTGTGTAACAGGGGGCTCTCGCCATGTAAGTAGCTCTTGCGCCGCCCCTGCCCACGGGGCGCGCTGCCCGCACCGGCACCCGCGCCTCGCCGGGCAGCTGCTCGGGCCGCACGTTGTGCTGGAGCAGGAGCCAAGCCTGAGGCCTTGGGAGGCCGCGGGGCCGAGGCCAGCCCGGGGCGGGAGCGGGTCGGGCCCGGTGGGGCGCCCCTCGGGCCCCCGTGGGCCAGGCTGGGCCCTCCCTGCGCCAGCTCGGCGTCTTCTCCTTTGTTCCCCGGGGTGGAACCCTTGCAAGTTTCGGCATAGTGCAGTCTTTGGCGAGTCGCTGCAACAGCCTCTTTCCCCTACCCCCATCTTTATAACTTTTTTTTTTTAATGAGAAAACTGGAGGGAGAAAAAAAGTCACCCTTGCATTAGATTTCCCGTCTAGATAGGTTTTCCTCCAGCAATGCGAAGCCTTTCTCTGGAAACTGCTCATATTGATCCCAAAGTTATTTTGATTGCATTCACTATGGGGTGGGGGCGGGGTAGGCGTCTTTTTCTTATGCAAAGCTACCCCTTTCCGGTGAGACCAGATTAACTGTCTCTGTGTTCTTTTCTACCTCGGCTTTCACCACTCCCGGGCGTAATTTCCCAATTCTTTTTTTTTTTTTTTTGGTTGTTGTTGTTATTCCAGCTGTCAATTTGTATAGAACCCATTCCTGTAAGTTCTTGCAATTCGTTAAAATTCTTAGGGTTAAACTTTTTTTTTTCTTGTTTGGATTTAAACTTATAAACAACCGAAGAGGCTACCATTTCTTTCAGATGAGGCTGTAGTTTAAATGCCCAAAGAAGGAAAAAATAGGGGAGGGGGAAAAAAAACCCAATTGTAAACGATATCTGAACCTAATGGTTTGTACCACTGGAGAATCGTTCTAGATTGGTTACCAATTAAACAGAACTCCACCAGAGTCAGGGTGGGAGGTTGTCCAGGAGACGATTTTGTATAGTATTTTTCTTGTACATTACTTCCAGTAAATATTTGAAAAATATATTGACGTAAACTTGATTTTTTTTTTTTTTGGTCACGAGAAACTATTAAGAGTTATTGTTGCAGTTCTGAGGAGCTGCGAGTTTTCTCAACTCACTTCTGGAGGTGCAGAGCCACCAACGCACTTTCGGGGCCGAGTTTTGCTCGAATACGAATTTAGATAGGTGTCAAACTGTAACTAAGACAATATTTGATAAATGTTGGATGACATTTAATTTAATGGAGCATGTACTTATTTGCATTTGCTGGCAGTTCAGGCATAGTTGAAGTGAGAGTTCGCCTATATTTCATAATAACTGGGTCCACCAAAACCCATGTATTAAATAAATTGTCCAAGTGAAACTCGACTAACTTTGGCCTTTGTGTATTTCCTGAGGGTAATATTGTTAAATGTTAATGAACACTCCTGATGCTACATTTAAATGTTTGCAGATTCTGCAAACTAATTGCTCATTGTAATGTTGAAATAATTTGGATATTTCACATTGAAATGAAAGCCTTTCTCTGGAACATTTTAGACTTGCATTTTAAATGCATGAAATGTAATTGATTTATTTGTAATATTTTAAATGGTATTAATAAACAGATAAAAGACTAGGCCAGTTAACTTGTATTTTTTTTCCTCTTTTAAAACTATGGACATTTGCATTTTATCTTCAGTAAAATGTCTAATTTAAACATAATATAACCCTGTTTTGTGGTGATATTTAAATAACTGCCTTTAAGCTGTTACCTAGATGGACCGATCTATTTGGCAAAGCCGTGTTTTCTCTATTTGCTGAGATAAGATTATAGTGTCTACGAAATATAATTAATTATTTACCAGTAGATTTAGCTCATAGTATCAGGACTTACTGACCTTAAAATTTGTGCTAAGTCACCAAACAATTCATAGAAATCTCGTTCTGCTGGAGCCGGGTTGTGGGCCACTGGTTGCTTTTAGCATTTAAAAGGCCAAGCCTTGCCTTGGGAGATCAATGCAACGAAAATGAAAACATGGGCTTGAGGGGATGGCTTCTGTTGTCAGGTCATCCAGCTAACAGAAGCTTGTTTTTGGCATTCCACGTCTTAGCTGGAGCTCCTGTAGAGCTCCTGTAGAGGTGTAGATTCCTGTTGGAGTGAGTTATCTGTTCTTTGAAAGTCTCTAAACAGCCACCAAAGAAAAGGAAGGTTAAACCTTAATCTGTTGACTAGGGTATTGTTCATAGGTGTCCATGATGCCAATAAAAATGCTGTCTTGTTATGTTTAAGTGCATTTAAGCAATGGGTGTTCTCGAGCCATATTTTGAAATCTAAAGTACTTATAAATGTTGACTGATGTTATATCGAACTATTTCACTATTAGATTAATATTATTTTGAATCAAACTGAATAAAAAGTTAGTGTGTTCAGATTCTTATAAGTTTAGCTTCTTTCTTTCGGTTTGTCCTCCTCTCAAGTGTAGTCTGGGTTTCCATCTTGAACTGGAACATTTCTATCATCATGTATGTATCTATAGTCGCTGCGATCCATAGAAGTAGAAATGAAAGCACGGAATGCTGGGGAATATTAGAAATCCCGGTGGAAAAACCGCGGGTAGGGATAAAATAGGTGTTAGAACCTTGCGGCTTGTGCCTAAGTAACCGGTCACCTTGATGACCCTGTCTGTGTCTGCGGTTTTAGACGAGCAAGTTAGCTCTGATTCTTTAGCGTACTACAACCCTCAGCCATGGTGTTAAAAAAATAAAACAGTCTCTCTCTGTCACTTTCTTCCTAGGAATAACACGCAGAACACACTTTAAGTCTTGTTTCTTTTTAATTGAAAATTGCAGTGCTGAGGGATTCGGAGAGAGCGGCAGGTAAGGGGACAGCTGCGGGGGTCACTTATGATACGGGTTGCATCCCGTGCAGAAGCGACATTTGGTGTGAGAGGTGGGTTGTGAGAGGAGGAGCTGGGGTCTAAAGGGAGAATTCTTTGCCTTGGATAGCTGTGCAAACTTTCACTTTCTTCCATGGGCTCCCCCTCGCTCCGGTGGCTCTGATGGACTTTGTTTTGATGGTTTTTGAGCAGTATTTCTGCAGAGTGCGCTGGGTGGCCCTTGGGGGGAAAGGAGCATTCTCTCTTGGGAGGGCAGAGGAAGGGATACAAAATGACAATTTCCCCCTGCTTTGTCTGTGGGAAAGCAGGTGTTTTGGAACCGCGGCTGAGGCTGGCTCAGGGGCAGACTGAGCCAGATGCTGGTCTCATTCTGAATGGCGAGCGTCCGGTATTGCGGATCAAGGTGGAGTTAAAGGAGTTGCTGACCTAGGGGTCAGACCGGCATCTATCAGCCCAGCCTCCAGAGCGGGGCCCAGGGCTGCCCGGCTCCCAGCAACCTTCCCATCTCGCCCACACTTGAGTGCCTGTTCCCTTCCGAGGCTCTCTCCCTTTCGGCCTCCTTCCTCACTTTCCTGATCTCTGATCCAGGGATCCTGAGTGTGATTTGGTAAGGTTGGACCCTCGAGTGGAAGGTTTTATGTTGAAAACTTCGTTAAGAAATGCCAGGAGCTGCTGGTGCTCACTCTCCTGCACCAGCCGGTACTGGTGAAAGAAACCAGATGGGTTTTTCTCTCTGCTACCCTCTTAGCCCAGTATGGCCGCCACTCACTCCTCCCTCCCCTGGGTGGAAAATGCTGAGATGGAAGGTGAAAGCCGGGCAGGTGGATGAGGCCGGGCAGATCTCCTGCAGATCTTCTGGTGGGGTCACTGTGTGGAATGTCACAAAGGCCAGTGGAGGAATTTCTTTATAAATATTTTATTGTGGAGGATTAGCTCCCAGGTCAGGTGATGGTTTGGGCTGGTACAGTTAAGGATAGAGTTGGATTGTTCTCTGGTTGCCTAAGAGAGTAGAGATAGGCATGATAGTGAAAGAATGTCTACATCTTGCTCCATTTTGCATTGAGTCGCAAAAAGAGGGGTGGACCCGGCAAGTGTCCTGAAGAAACTTCGGTGTTAAAATTTTCCTACTGAATCTTGCTGCTAAACAGGCATCATCATTTTTCCTTACACTCCTAAGAAAAACGCAGGTATTACCAATTTCTCTCTCTCTCTCTCTCTCTCTCTCTCTCTCTCTCGGCTCTCCTTTCGGGTGGCATTGTAAGAAGACTCTCTTCATATACCATTATAGTTATTAAAAAAGAAAAGACTCAAAACTAGCTTGCGCCCTCTGTATTCCTTGCCAGACCCGAGACCCCATCGGCTGCGCGCCCTTCGCATTTGCCGCACCCTCCGTGAGCTCAGGGAGGCGGCTAGGCTAGCGCAGGGTGGGGAGAGCTGGGAGAGTGGGATCTATTTTCCTTGGTCCCTGGGCGCGTGTTTAATTTAATTTAATTTTCTGCGGAGACTCCCAGCGGCACAGCAGCAGCCTGAACCGTTTAGCTCCGGTGCCTAACAACGGTGGGAACTCTGGGGAACGACAAGCAGGGTGTGGGGTGACCTGGAACCAGGGGGACGAAGGCCGGCCACGACCCGCCGCTGCTCGCACACCGCGCTTTTCCGTGCATTGGCCGGGGCTGCTGCGGTGAATCCGAGTCACTCCCCAACTTGGCTCCGCACTTAGCAACTTCTGGGGTTCCCGGGCAGGGCGCGCGCGACGCGGCCTCTGCTCCTCCAGCTGAGGCCCAGCCTGCCCAAAGTTACCCTCCTTTCCAAACAGTGGATTCGGAGGCGGCTTGGAGCCCGGGAGTAGTTCCCAGCTGTTCTCAAAGCTACCACCCGCCTTCCTCTCCGTCTCCGCGACGCGCGGAGGTCCGCTCAGGAAGACCGTGGGGCCCCTCGGGAAGAGTTCAGAGCTGGCGAGCCCCACGGGGCTCAGTGGACGCTGGGCCGGCGGTGCGGGGTCTGCCCGTCAGCCCCGCGCCCTGCACCCCGGCCCGCCGCGCGCGCCGGAACCGGGCGCACACAAAGACGCCGCGGCCACCTCCGCCCGCTGCGCGGGCAGCGAGCGCCACCCTGCGCCCCGCGCCCGCTCTGCAGCGCGCTCCGCACGGGTCGCGCCGGCCGACCCCGGCCTGAGCCTCTGACCTCGGGCGAACCCTCGCTGGGGTTGCCCGGGGAGGGAGCCTCCCCCGCGCGCGCGCTCGCGCCCAGGAGCTGCCAAGAGCCTTTCGGGGCCGACCGGGGTGAGGGTGACGGTTCCCCTCCTTGCCCTTGCGCTCCAGATCCCTGGCACCAGCCAGCTGCCTGTCGCCATCCTGGCGCCCTGCAGCTCCGAGACCCACACCGTGGCACCCGGCCCGGCTCGCCGCGTCCTGCCGGGACCCCCAAGGGCCTGCTGCGGAGCGGGCAGGCCGTGGTCATTCTCTTAGGCCTTGCCCACGGCTACTTGCCCGCTGTCACCTCCAGGGCATTTCTCCTTGGCCAAACTGCCGTGTTATCCCCCCCCTGCACCTGCCTCCTCTCCCGCCAAGTGGGAAGCTTATTCGTGTCACTTCATTCTGAGTTCCCCAGCCTCGGACGGGGGGCGTTTGCGCACCTGTGCCAAACACGGCTATCCTCCAAGGAACCAAAGTGTCATTGGCTGCAAAAACTTTTTGCGTTTTTGGATTTAAGCTTTGGCCAGCCGGCGGGCTGTCCACAGTTACAGGTATACAAGCCTCGTACCTGTTAGATGCGCCTAAAATCCAGCAACCCCTGGAGGGCTCCCTGGTCCGCCGCAAGCCTTGGGGCTTCCGGGTGTACGGGGAGCGCTAGGAAATGTGACAGAGGACAGCCCCAAGCCTCCGGCTCCCTTTGAAGGTCTTTCCTTGGAGGAGGTACCTGCCTGAGGTAAGGACCCTAGCCCCTGCCCCCAACTCTAGGCCTTCAGCCCTGTGGTCTTGAAGGTCGGGGTGCAGGTTCGAACGCAGAAGGTGGGCCAGCGTGCGCGCACCGTCCACGAGTCCGTGCGTCTGTAAGGGACCCCGCGGTGAGGCTCCAGCAAACACGTTCAGTGAGCGCTCGCAGCTGCCACCTGAGCCACGTCCCGCCTGTGGTCACACCTGCGGGGCTCACTCCCCGGCCAGCACGGGTCCCCTAAGCGCGCAAAAGGAGGAAGTGGCCCGGCCTGTGCGCAGCGCTGGCCTCGCGCGGGAAGTCGTCGACGGGGTCCACCCCGGAGCCGCCGCCGCCGCCGCCGCCCTCCTCCCCGCAGCCGGCTGGCGCTGCGCCCCCTCCCCACCCCCCTCTCCCCGGGCTCCGGAAAGCCCGGCCGCGCCGGAATGTCGCCTTGGCTCACCCTATTGTGCCTAGGTGTTGCGGGCCGCTGGGGGGGGACAGGGCCGCGCGCTTTGATCTCATGGCCCCGCCATTCTTTGGCGCAGAGGGGTGAGTTTAAATTAAATTTCTCTCTCTCTCTGTCTCTGCTGATAAGTTCTAATGGCCTCCGAAGGTGAATGATTGTTCAGTAGCTTTGCAGGGGTTGTCACAGTGGGAAATCTCAGCGCGCAGTCCGCGGGAGCAGGATCTCCCCGGTGCCCGCAGCCCCGCCAGGGAGCCGCGACGGTGGTTCGCACCTGCGGGCGCGGCTTCAGAGGTGCCCTCCTCCTCCTTCTTATTTATTTTTTCTAGGTCAGCATTAAGAAACCTTGTTTTTGAAACT